CAGCCACATTTCCTGCCACCCCAATAACAGCAATGATGAAAATCAGACAGAGCAGGATCATCTCTAAGTTGCAGATTTTAAGAATGTCTTTGTGCTGTTCAACTGCACCCATGACTCCTGTACTTGGGGTAGGTAGAGCTGGACCTTTGTTCAGTGACCTTCCACTGGAGGCCCTGAGACCACAAATAAGCCTTCAGCACGTGCTGTATGTCTGACTCTCAATATCACCCTGTAGTGTGGGAACTACTATTTCCTTTTTTGTTTTTTTTAATTAAAAATTTCTTTTTTGTTGAATTTTTACAAATTTCAAATAACATTTATATTTTGATCATATTCAGATCCCCTGCCAAATCTGACCTCCCATTACTATCCCAGCATAATTTCATGCACACACACACACACACACACACACACACCCACACACAGGCCAATTTGTATCCCTCAATTTTAAATCAGAATCTCATATCCCGTCCTCTCTTGATGCTGATGGCGAAGTGTAACTTGACATTGACATCTGTGGGTAGAGATATATATCTATCTTCTGATCCTTCTCTTCCTCAGGCTGTGATGTTGATGAGGCTGAAGCGCCTGTTCACTACAGGATGATGGTCCCTTCAGGTCTTAGAAAATCAGTTTTAAAGCTCTTTGCTCACATGCTGTACAGCTTCAAACCCAGGTCTAATAAATTTCTTGTTAAAGTAGTCTTCTGTTGATTATTTCAGGCTCTAGCCAATAAAGAATATTTTCCTTCTCAAATTTCATTCCATTCTCAAAGAGCATTTTTGTTATCAATTTGGGTAATTTCACCAAAAAAAGCCAGATTAGAGGAATAAAACGCAAATGAGCAAATAACTGATAGACATGCGAATAGAAATTTACCAATAATTATTATTTAAACATAGAAAACCACATACAAGATAATACTTTGTATGCATGTGTGAAATTCTCTACGAACAAATAAAAATTTAAAGAGATTTCGTACTAACCGTTTTAAAGATGTGAGCTCGAGTTTCATCTGACAATGACCAATGTCTTTCCACTCTTTATTCTGTCATCCCAAGAGGGCATCATCACTATTCTAGACAGTAGGACCCTTTTCCATTTGTTACCAACCGAATTGAACCACTGAGTGACACTGCCGGGATTCTGGAGGATAGCAAGAGCAGGATTTGAGGCTTTTCTTTCCACCTCTCTTCTCTTGTATCTCTGTGTGCATGCGCCCCCATCTGCTTAGTTATCTGTTACTACTGCGCGGATACCGCTGTGACTGCTGTCTCTCTGGTTGTACTGCCTTCCATCGGCCAACAAGTCTAAGCTGGAAATCCTGCTTTGTGCACCTTAGTTTATGATGACTTATGCATTGCAAATTTCCCTTAACCCTTGCACATTTTGGAAATAATTCTTTCCCAAGACACTCAGCAATTATTTCGTATTTAAATACGCCTTTCTTCTTGGATGTTTCTGGAATGTATAGTGCAGAGTATTTTCAAGAAGCAAGCAAAGCAAGTAACCTGTTTTATAGCACCTCTATGCTAGGGAGCACCGTAGCGTCATCATCCTCATTGAGTTACTCTGAGAGGCAGTGCTATCTCTGTGACAACAGATTGGAGTGTTTGGGGAAAGGTGAGGAAAATGGGATTTGTATGAGAAGAGATAAATTCTATTTACCATTAGACACTTCTGTGTCCTGCCTTTCTCAAGAGGAAGCACTGAATCCTACACGGAGCAGACCATGGTAACAACACAGGAATGTGAACTCAGAGAAAATACTGTAACAGAAACTCTGAAAGTTCTGGGAATGTGTGCTTACCTTCCTTCTATTCTCCAATCCAGCGGTGGAGAGATGACTAGGACTGAGGAAAAGCCTCTCTCAGATTGAGTGACTCCAGAGTTCACACTGTTCTAGGGCAAGATTTGCCTATGGGAGCTGAAAAAGTGTTTGTGACAAAGCAAAGCTTGTAAACTTCTGTGACTTCCCATACATGTGATAAGAGCAAATCACAGACCAGAGATATCTGAGTCTTAATACTCACTAAAAGGTTTGTTGGCATGTGTTGTAGTTCCGCTTCCACCAGCCTTCCCATCTGAGTAATTGTTTTATCCTTTAATTGCAAACTCTCATCATAGTTAGCAACATCAAGCAATGCTGCCTTGTGCTGTGGGGCTTTATACTAAAAAATAACAGGGGGTCAATCAAGGCTCTTTGTGGTCAGGTTTCAGTCATTTTTGCATATTTTCTTTGTGACAACATAGTGTGTTCATTTGTATAATTTTGTTCCTGTACACATAATAATGTATGTAAACTGAGAGTCTCCCTGTAGCCCACTCTCCAGATGACACTATTTCATACTTATATTTATGTACTGACTTTCATCATCTCTCAAATAGAAAAGTTTATTTTCATTTTCAATTTGACAACATGAAGAAGCTGAACAAAACTAACTTCCTATATGAACTTTCAGCATGTGAAACATATTTGTATTTCTCCTCGGTCCACTTCATGAAATTTATTATTCATATCATACTAAAAATACTTTTAATTAAGTCTGACCTTCCGTGACCTCCCATTTTCCCTTCTTGCTGTGGTAATACTAGTCTCTTACAAGAAAACGAAGAGTGGGAAAAAGATTGTAAGATCCAAAGGACCAGGACACCTGCACCATAGTGTCCTAGATATGCTGCCCCCATGAAATTTCAACAATATGGTTCCTAAACAGGACCTGCACAATGACCACATAAGTTAGCAGGCCAATATAAATGGGGAGATTTCACAGGGCCCAATATAGACATTACGTATGTGTGTGTGTGTAAGCATAATAATTATAGGAGATGTCAGGACATCAAGAGGGAGATGGGCAGACACAGGAAGAGTAGGATGAGGGAGACCTAACAGTGGGAATTATGTAACAGCAGTGTATTCGTATATGAAATTCTTGAAAAATATAAAAAGCTGAAATTTAAAAATATAATTTCAAATAGAAATTGAAATAAACAAGAAACCTTTGGTGAAATGAGAGCACCATTATGATGGTTTCAATTAGCAATGTCTGCCCCACAGCCTCATGTACTTGAATACTTGGTCTCCAGCTGGTGGCGCTATCTCAGGAGGTTATGGAACACTTGCTGGAGGAAGTATTCTGCTAGGCGTGTGCTTTGAGGGTTTATAGCCTCACCTCAATTCCAGTTTTCTCCCTCTGTGTCTGTGGAGGAAATGTAAACTCTTAGCTTCCTGCTGCCACACCTTCCGTGTCATTATGGACTCTATTCCTCAGAACTTTGAGCCAAAATAAACCCTTTTCTTCTTTAAGTTGCTTATTCTCGTGGTATTTTATTCCAGCAAAAGAAATATAACTGATACAGAAGTTAGTACTAGGAAATATGCGGTGTTTCTATGATAAACCTGGTGATGTGGTTTTTATGTCTTTTGACTATAATATAGAGGACTTTGGAACTTGGAGCTAGAAAGTCGAATCCATTGGACAGTCAAGGACCAGCTCATGAGTTTTCATAGGGGAATAATGACTGTTAGCAACTGGGCTAAAGGCCACTTTTGTGATATTTTGGCAAAGATTCTAATTTCATTCTGCCAATGCCTTGAAAATTTCCATGAGGCTAAATTAAAAAGTAAAAGGCTTATTCCTTTATCAGAGGAAATTTTTTTTAGACTTTTTGAGACAGGGTCATCCTGTAGCCACAGCTGTCCTGGAACTCATTATGTAGACCAGGCTGGCCTCAAACTCACAAAGACCCACCTGCCTCTGCCTCCAGAGTACTGGGATTAAAGGCATGTGCCACCACGTCCAGCTTTCTGAGAAGAAATTTTAAGATAGCATGACAGTGGATTTATGGCTTGGTTGTGTGTAGGTCTACTATGAAATGCAATTCCTGTAGCCACAGCTGTCCTGGAACTCATTACGTAGACCAGGCTGGCCTCAAACTCACAAAGACCCACCTGCCTCTGCCTCCAGAGTACTGGGATTAAAGGCATGTGCCACCACGTCCAGCTTTCTGAGAAGAAATTTTAAGATAGCATGACAGTGGATTTATGGCTTGGTTGTGTGTAGGTCTACTATGAAATGCATAGAGTGAAATACAGGATGTGAATGTTGGAGAAGAAAAGATCACTAGAAGGCTTAACCTGGTGCTTAAAATAATAATGTACAGAAAAAAAGAGTCTAATTGTTAAAGAGATTAGCACCATTAAGAGAAATCTCCTAGTCTGCACTGAAACAATAGAAAGGGTGACTGAGTGCAAGACCCCACACAGCTATGTCTCCAACTTGTGATTAAGAGCCTAGTAGTTTTGACTTTTAGAAACCAACTGTGGAAGAGCAAACTTAAGGCACCTGGCCCAAAGCGGAGATATCTGATTTTTTAATGTAGGTGCTTAGAACTATAAACTTGCTTCTTAAAACTACCTTCACTGTATCCCACGGATTTGGGTAAATTGTGTTTCAGTAACATTTCATCTTTGAATTTTTAAATCTCCTGCTTTATTTCTGCAATGATACCTCCAATAACCTGTTGTTAAACTCCACAAGTTTGTGTATTTTCTTTAGCTTCCCTTGCTGTTGATTTCTAGTTTTTTTCAAATTGTGGTCAGATAGTATACAGGATGTTGTTTTAGTTTTCTTATATTTGTTGAGGCTTGCTTTGATGTGATCTGCTGTAGAGAGGGTCCACAGGGTTTTGAGAAGGTGTGTGTTGTGGTGTTTGTGTGAAAAGTTCTGTAGATGTGTATTAGGTCCATTTGATATATGATGTTATTTAATGCCAGTGTTTCTTTATTCATTTTTGTGCAGTTTATCTGGATAGTGAGACTGAAGTATTATTACTATGTTAGGGGAAATCTATGATGATTTTGTATCTATCGGTGTCCGCAAAGTTGGATGAGCCTATATTTGAAGTGCATAGATTTTGAAATGTAGTTTCCTCTTGATGGATTGTTCCCTTGATCCGTAGGAAGTAATAATCTCATGCATGTTTGTGTATCTGTGTATCATCTTCCTTCTTGTGTGTAGCAAACCTCATACTGAATGATGAGATTTGTGTCGCAAAGGAGGACTTATTATTGCACGTGTATTTCATGCCTTTGTCCACCAGTTGAAAAAACACTTTTGTGAATGCTACAAAGGAAACATTTATATGTCTTCTGATAAGAATGTTGATTTGAGGGGGCTGGAGAGATGGCTCAGCAGGTAAGAGCATTGACTGTTCTGGCAGAGGACCCGGGTTTGAGTCCCAGAACCCATATGGTGGCTAACAACCATCTGTAACTCTAGTTCCAGGGGATTTGACACCTTCTTCTGATCTCCACGTGCATTGAATGGCATGGTTCCAGAAAGATGAGAGTCCATCATGACTGGGAAGGCATGACAGGAGCAGTTGCATCAGAGAGCTGAGAGCTCACATTTTAAAGCACACATAAGATCAGAGAGGGAAAAGCGAAGGTACAGCAAAGCTATCACCTCTCAAAGCCTGCCCCCAGTGGCACATTTCCTTATGCAAGGCCATAATTCCCAAAGACTTGATGACCTCCCTCAAACAGCAGCAGCAACAGACCAAGCATGCAAATACTTGAGCTTAAGGGGTCGAGGGGATTTCTTATTCAAACCACCACTTTAAACTTTCACCTTAAAACAGTGTTTATCTTTGGTGGTAAAGTGTTTTTCTTGCAGGCAGCATAAAGATTTTGTCTTCTAATCCAATCTGCTCCTCTCTATTTTTTAATGAGTTAATGGGGACCACTGATTATCAGAGTTATTATTGAAAAGTGTGTAATGCTGCCTATCATTTTGTTGATTTTGTAGTGTTTGGGACTTTCTTGGTCTTCTTTTGTTTAATCAGCATTATTTCATCGTTTCTTTGCTCTTGTGTGTTTATGGTTCTCTGTGACTGAAGCATTCCCTCCAGTATCCCAGGACCAGATTGGAGCCACTGAATTCCCTTACACTGTTTTTATAATGGAAAGTTTTTCTTTCATCATTTTGTGGGGTATATTTGACTGGGTTGGCAACTGTGATCTTTCAAAACTTGAAAGACAGTCCAGTCCCTTCTTGCTTTCATGGTTTGAATAGAGAAGTCACCACTTATTCTGTGGGGCTGCTTCTACGACAGTATGTAGCATTGTCCTTCACTTTTAGAGTTTTGTACTTTCCAATCATTTATTTTGTAAAATTTGTCGTTGACCTTGATTGAATGATTCAGTTCCTCTGTTTTGTTTCCATAATCTCACATTTTTTCATCTAAATGATTCATTCTAATGGTGAGGCTTTCCATTGAACATTTTATTTGACCAGCTATTTTTTTCCCATCATCATTGCAATTTGTGCTTCCTTCACTATTTCTACGTCTTTATTAAATTGCATTTTCCTATTGTGGATTGGCTTGCTTTTTTCATTCAGCTGTCTGTCTGTCGTCTCTGGAAGCATACTGTAGTCCTCTGAGCTGTTTTTTCATTCAGCTGTCTGTCTGTCGTCTCTGGAAGCATACTGTAGTCCTCTGAGCTGTTTTACAATTTAAAAATCATCTATTTACTGCATCAGGAATTTCATCTGATTCCTTCTGGTTGGGTCCATGAGTACGGGTTGGTAATTTTTGGAGCAGATGAATTGTCTTGGGTATTTTTTCACACTACTTGGGTTTTTGTGCTGGGATCTGACCATCTGAGGCTAGATTTGGGGTTGGTATTTGTTGTTGCTAGGACTAAAGTACACGTTGATTCTCTCCTTCCCATGGATGTTTTTGTAGTGTTCAGGACAGACTGGGTTTTGACTCAGTCATGGTGTTGCTTTTGTCCATAAAACTGGGGTTTCAGATACCAGGCTTTGTCTCAAATCTGCCCCACTGGGCTGAGTACTGTCTACAGCAGCAGTCACTATCTATCCACTGATAACAGAGTTGCAGGTGACTACAAAACAGACACCTGTTAGTTTGGGGAACAAAAGGACTCCAGCGGTACTGTGCATTCTCATGTGGTACTATACATGGAAAAGGAATGAACAGAAGATTTAAGCGATCATGATGAGACTGGTCTCAAGTATTAAGTTATTAGATAGAAAGTAGAGGGGAGTGTTGTTATTCCCACAATAGTGGGAATAGTTGAGCTGAAGGAGAAGTCTGGGTGGCCATGTGGTAGTTTGGGTTTATGGTAGACTAAAAAGAAGTAAACATACATACCCAGATACTGTAAACAAAGTTAGCCTCTGAGAGCCTCACTTCTTGGCACCTATCTATATCTTTGTTCCTTTTTCCACCACCTGAAAAAATGCAACTTAAACAATAAATTGTTTTAAAATACCCACAGACATTCACAGAGGCCTATCTGCTATGTGATTCTAGATTTTGTCAAGTTGACAATTAACACCGCCCATCTTGCAGAGCAACTGGAAAAGATAGCAACATTACCCATTTGTTGTACATTTCAATCTTTCATTTTTCAAAGCTGGACAAAGTTCACTAATTATGTGTAGCATTTTCCCTCCTCTATTACTCTGTTGATGGGCATCTTGACTGATTTTATATCAAAGCTGCTGTGGTTAGAGCAGCAACGAACACGGATGTCGAAGTATTAATGAACAGAATACAGAATGTTTTTAGACAAACCCGGATCATATGGTAGTTTTTTTTCCCTGTAATGATTTTATTGAGGTTTTGTGCATTTCCTACAATAGCTTAATCAAATTTTGACCCTCTGCTCCATCTCTTCCCCTCACAGCACCTTCACCTGACCTCATGCACTCTGTCATATATGTTAAGCCCTATCCATCAAGCATTTATATCCAGATGTCCTTCAGTGAAAGCTCATCCACTGGAGTCTAGTCAGCATATCTAGGGATCTTAAAGATTTACTTTCCCTCACCCAGCAGTAATCTGTTGCCAACAGTTCCTAGGCTAAGGCTGGGCCCGCCACCCATTTCCCTTGCTCCATGTTGGCCTCTTGTCTGATTGGCATGGGTCTATGCATGATGCCACCACTGACAGACGTTCACATGAGCAAACTTCCAGTGACCCAACCACTGTTTCCCTATGTTCATGGACTAACCATGGCTCTTACAATCTTTCTTCCCCCTTCTTCCACAATGGTCCCTGAGCTATGGGTGGGTGAGGTTTAATATAGGTGTCCTATCCTGGGACACACATGGGTGACACTGAAATTATAGCCAAATATACATGGTTGGAGAGGTCATAGATCCTAGAAAAAACCTTATCTCTATCATATCTCTAAACAAGTGAAATTTCTTAACATATGTCAAATATGGATCCTAATATTTACAGACAGGTGTGCCTGATAATCAAAGAAGTTTCTTTCTCCAACAGATGGAAGCTACTACAGAGATCCACAACTAGTCATTCACAAAGAATATAGTTCTAAGACATTCCTAGCCCTAGGTGACATATCGACAGTGGAAACTCAACATCTAAGGCTCATGGAGCATAGTGGACCAGGGGTCGGGTAATTCTGTTTTTAGCTTTTTGAGAAGCCTCTACTCTGATTTCCGAGTTATTGCACCACTTACTCTCACAAAACTCATGAATAAGGGTCACTAATTCCCCTTGACCTCACCAGCATTTGTTGACATTTGTTTGGGGGAATAATGTCATTCTATCTTGTGTGACAATGAATCTCAATATCTAAGAATACAGAACACTTATTAAAGTGTTTATTGGACACTGTTTTTTTTCCTTTTGAGAATTTTCTGCTCGTTTCCGTGGCAAACTTTGTTCTTTATTGTTTCCTTGATGCTTTGCTTTTCCATTTCCTTTTGTGTTCTAAATATTATTTGTTTAGAACATGCAATTAGTAAAAAAATTTTAAGTGTATGCTCTCATTAAAATAAAATGCAACTCTGATGTAGATCCTTTCTTCAAAGGAAACATGAAATAGCCACTTGGGTACTTGCCATAAGAAAATAGACACCATAAGAGAGGGAAGAAAGGCAAAGGGGGAGGATGGAATTGGAAGTACTTGGGACACTAACGGAAGATGTGCAGAAGGAAGTGACAAGATAGCCTACCGTGACCTAAAAATGCATGGATGTTGATTTATCTGGAATAAAATTTAACTTGATCCTTCCACAAGTTGAAAATGGTAAAAGTAATGTTTTGTGCAACGGACCAGCCCAGACCGGGGCAGTTCAGTCCGATGGGAACAGGGTCGTCGAGAGGGTGGACAAGGAGTCGGCGAGTGACAAACAGACGCAAAAGGAGCTTTATGAAAGTCTGAGTGTAATTTTTGCAGTTGCAAGGTTTGAAATATATACAGCAAAGATTACAAAAAAACGCAGAACAGTCATGCTAAGATTCACAGTTTGCACAGTGGTTTGAGGAACACTACAGTCAGTAATTGTTCAGCAAACATGGTCTCAGTTAAACGTCACCAACTTGACTTTAAATTATTTTATGTGCATGAGTGTTTTTCCTGCCTGTGTGTAAGTGCACCCTTGTTGTGCAGTGCCCGTGGAGGTCAGAAGAGGGCATCAAAAACCCTGGAACTGGAGTTAGGACAGTTGTTAGCCACCACGTGGGTGCTGGGAATAGAACCCAGGTCCTCTGCTAGAGCAGCCAGTGTTCTTAACTGCTGAGCCATCTCTCCAGTCTGAAACATGACTTTTTAAATCAGTATTCTGGCACACAGAGAAGAAATTCTGCAAAACAAATAGAAGGTTTCAAAACCTTGGCTGCTTTTCGAAGCCACTGCACTGCCAGGTCCTTGCCCTCTCCAGGATCTCTTTCATAATCCTCTGTTCATGTTCATCCCCCTCAAGCATATCCAGCAGAACCCTCTGGTGAAGCAACACGAGGATCTGTTGCTTCAGTTACTACCTGAAGGAGGCAAGGAAGAAGTAAATGATGGAGTTGGCAGAGCTGTTAATGCAGGACATGGGTAAGTGCAACTGGAAAGCACTGATGATATAATAAATTATTCTGAATTCATAAATATCTGAAGCAGTTGATGCCTAAGAGGAAGAAGACCAGCACTGTGAGGATTGTAGCATACATCATGGGGTCAGTAGATCCCAATTGGAACTACAGAAGATACTGATGACCAGGGCCAAACTAGACTCAGAGAGAATCAGAAATGAAAAAGAAAAATACAGACTACACAGACCAAATGAGCGTTGTACA